AACCTACCATGTGTACGACCTTGATCAAGATACTTTGCTCCCAACACCCTCAATGAGCCTCCATTTCTTCATCTCTGTGATAGGTAAGGGTATTACAGGGGTATTTTTAAGGGTAAGTGAGACATTTTATGTCAAATGTCTAGCCAAGCTCCTGACACAAACACAGCAACCAAATGCAGAAAAATGAACTTCCAATGAACAGTGTGAATGGACTACACTAAAGAAAATTTAATACATTAAGATTCTTGAAAAGATCAATGTATTAATAAAATGTGGGGACTTTGGAGGGGAACTAAAAAATAAAAAGGGGAAATAAAAAGATAACTGCAGCCTGGCAGTGGTGGCTCGGTAGTTGAGCGTCAACCTATGAACCAGCAGGTCATGGTTCAATTCCTGGTCAGGACACATGCGCGGGTTGCAGGCTCAATCCTCACCTGGGGGCATGCAGGAGGCAGCCAATCAATGATTCTCTCTCATCATTGAAGTTTCTGTCTCCCTCCCTGAAATCAAGAAAAACATACTAAAAAAATAATTACACACTTGGTGAGAGTTGAGTCATGATGATCCTTTCCTTGAAGGGGCTTGTTGCCTGGATTTCCATCCCCCACCTCCCAAAAGCACCTTATTCATGAGCAATAGAATGTCCTTACCAATCCCAAATTGCTTGACTTGACTGTGATTGTGAGTTATTTGAGTGTAAGGAAAATTACTTTACCTTGGCTTTCTTCCTAATTGAGTACCAAACCCCCAGCTCATATATAGTCCCTTGTTACAAGTTTGTTGGTAGTGCTAGTAGCAGCAGCAACAGCATTAAATCATAATGATAATTTGTGCTTTAAAAATGGGCATTTGCCAAAGAGCTTGATCTAGAAGAACCCCTCTGGCAAGGTGAGGGCTGGGAATTCAGGGAATTCTTCGACCGTTCAGCTGGCTCTTAGGGCCAATTAAAGTCCGTATTTATTGATGCCATCAGCAATTCCATATTTATTGTACTGAATGCATGTTTATAATCCTTAGAAAGTATTTATGAAGCAAAGTGTTTGCTGCAAAAACATTTCCCTTCATCGTGGTTCTTTTCTGTGTGGAAAGGCCAAGTTAGATTGAGTTTCTGCGGCTCAGCAGAAGGGACCTCACATTCTCTGGTTCTCATCTCAGTGCTTGGCACAAAGCATTCACCACTGGAACACCAATACATTTAATAATAATTATTTTTAATTAAAGTGCAAGAGTGGATAAAGACTGATTTATTCCATTGTGCTGTGTTCTCTGCAGTTTTCTAAGCTTTTCGCTACAATAATACTGCCCCCAAAATAAGGTAGACAGTTTAATTAGTCTCATTAAAGGCTTGTATATAGACTTGTATAATGTTTCCTACAGTATCAAGAATAACATTTTTTTTTAATTTGGAGTTTTTGTATTTTACTTTATGTTCTAATGATGGTGTTTCTGTGTGTGTGTGTGTGTGTGTGTGTGTGTGTGTGTGTGTATGTGTGTGTGTTTCTGATCAGTAAGTCCTTGACTGCTTGGTAATTCTCAAGGGGAAATTAGACCACCATTTATTTGAGATGCATTAGGTGTCAGACACTGTCCTGAATGCCCTTGAGTATGTTATCTTACTTAAACATGACCAAAATCTTTGAAAGAGTTTACTGCAATCTATATTTTATAAATAGAAAAGCTGAGGCTCAGAGGATTGAAATAATTTTATCACACTTATACTAGTAAGTAGCTGATGTGGGGTCTGGCCCAGATCTTTTTGATTCTTCCCACTGTACCATCGTTCTCTCAGTGAGAACATGTGTTTCCCTTTTTTTCTGCGGTTTTGGTTTCTTATTTCTGTTCTACTAAAATGACTATATTATAAACGCCATCAAATTCTAGTTGGGAGAATCAAAGAATAAATGAGTTTGGGAGTTCATTATCTATAAGGAAATGCGTTCTAAATGAAGGACTAACTGCGAACAGTCGCTGGGTGGCCTGGGTGCCTCTTGCCAATCATCTGAGGGAGCCTGTCACACCCTGTCCTCATTGTCAGAAATAGGAAATGTGGTTGGGGCGTTTCTGCCCCTCCTTTCTGCAGAACATATCTTCTCCTTGGAATGCTATTGTCAGTTTCCCTTCTCCCCAGCCATCCATCATCATTCACCATTTTCTCTGGTGCCTATCACCTGGCCTCGCCAGCCCAGATGGACTGTAGCATAATAAGTGGCAGGAGGGAGATGCTCTTCTCAGGATTGGACAACGTGCTCCCTAGGACTGTTCATGGCAGCAGCTCCTTGGTTACTTGATTATGGGAAGGCGTGTAAGGACTGGCGAGCCTGGCAGCTCGCCCAGATGTTACCCGGCTAGAATAAATCTCAGAGCGCAGAGAGTCACAGGCTGTATGGTCTTTGGCCGCAGCCTTTACCTTTGGTTGTGACAGCTCTGTTTTCAAGAATATTTCCCCTGGGCCAGTGTTGTTTATTGGTAATTTAGTAAGCTAGGTGAAAACTTGTGGTCTGTAAGGAGGAAATCACAGTGAATACAGTGTGGATGGCCCTTGGTAGCAGGACTGGAGTAACAAAGAAGTTCTTGTATGTGGAATTGCTCTTCAGCTTCAAGTCTCTCTCCTTTTTTTTCCCTCCTTCATATTTCTGCCCAAGCTTTCAGTAATCCTGTGTCTATAGCTAACAGGGATTTAGAATAAATGACTGGAGGTGGGTAAATCAGGTCTGTACTTAATTATTAAATACTGAAAATCACAGAACATCAGAATTTTTAAAGCCTTTGGAGATCATGCAGTCTTTAAAAAGATATGCTCACATTGAGTAGATTCAGGCATTATTTTTGTGTGCATTCATTTATTCCTTTGTAAGTTATTTATGTTGTCCCTGGAGTGCAGAATATAACCAGGTTTCTTCTCTACAACCACCCCCCATTTCCTTGGTGACTCAGTTGTCTAGATTTTATGATCTTAGAAGGGAAGTGTTGATAAAGGAGGCATATTGACTGCTCCTTTTTTTCTGTCTGTGACTGTCTGGGGACCTCTGCGGAGGATTTTTATAAAGGAGTCGTATTTGTGCTGGTCTTGATGCTCTCCTTTAACTCAGCAGAACAGTCATATGACTGATGCAAAGATAGTACAACAAGATGGATTTCTTTCTAATGAGAAAAAATAGCTCATGCTTTAGACTTAAGCGCTGAACATGCCATTATATTTTCTATTTTCCTTAAGACAGACCTTGCTCTGACTAGTTGGTGGAAACAACTAATCCAAGTGGGATTTGTCTAGACTCTGGTGCCCCTGGGAACTCTTGAGGATCTGGGCTATGGATTTCTGAAGCTTCACATGTTTTTATCAGTCAATTTCCAAGATGCCTCAGAGACTGTTGAGATAGATAATAAATCAGGTGAGATTAAGCTGGGTTTGGTGTCAGGCAAAGAACTATAATTAGAAAGAAAATGTTTAATTTAGGAAAAAGAAGGGAAACATTGTAAGTGCAGATTGTGAAGGTTTTGAGAAGCCCATTTTGTGGCATGTATCTTTCCTGTCAGAGTCCTGACACTCTTAAGAAATAACATAAGATAGGTGAAAGATGAACGTTACTTTCATATTGATACAGGCCAGATAGACAGTCGAGTGAGAGTTCTAAATGAACATCAACATTAAACTGACTTGCGCACCCCCTCACGGAAGGTGCTGGACCACTCGTCCTTCTCTGACAAGACAGAACCTTTATTTCTCAACTTAGCAAGACCACATTTATTATCTGTGTGCATCCGGTTTCTAAACCGGAGTAAGGGGGTTGCTGAAGCAACTATGCCCAGCTTTTTCTTCTCAATTTTACCACAGGAGTTAGTTCACTTTCCCCGGAGTGGGTTAAAGATGGAGAGAGGTCAGGGGCTACACTCATCAAGCTTCATTTTAGTGGAAAGAACTATGAGCATTGGAGATGGAAGGAGAGCATTTCTCCCAACATCCTAAAATATACATTGTTTTCACATCCTAAACTCTCTGAAATTAGGATATATCTGTAATCAATGGCATCTTAATGGCTGTCCAGCCAAAGACAATCTTAATGACTTGTTTTGCCTCAGTGTATAGGAGTTGAGTGACTATTCCTCATACTGTGACTTGGTATTTCAGATAATGAACCTTGTAAGGACCATTTGAGGAAAGAATATTAGTCCTGCTTAGTACAGGGACATGTTTTCTTTAGACCCTCTGATGGCATCAAGAACATATCAATATATTAAACCTGGCAAAGTGAATATCAATCAGCAGCTTGAAATAAAGTACTTGATATACTCCTTTAAGAAACTCACTTGCTGAAAATCTTTAGAAAACAAGGGAACTGACAACTCGGAGTCATTCAGAAGAGCTGGACTCTGAGTATTCCATAGTTTTAGGAATATATCAACCAGTTTATATTTCTTATATCCCCTTATTACATGTGTATGTGAGACTTATGATTAACATCCACTTATTTTAAAAGGAGCTTTTCAGTAAGAAAAAACAAAGATCCTAAGTGATAAGGAAGCATTCTGTAGTTTAATTAGCAGGACATTTTTTCCCTTACTATTAACCTAAAATAATAGCAGATCTTACAATCAGTGGGATCTTAGATTTGATGAAATACACACAGTTAAGTTCATTTGGGTCTCGGCTCCAATCTTTACAGCCCTGGACAACTTTGTATGGCAGTTCTCTCCCCTTGAAAGTTGTCTGTGCTCTACTGTTCAAGACAGATACTGGTGGTTAGAGAGCAAGAGCTATATCCTTGCACTTTTTCTTGAAATAAACTCTATTCTCACTGTGCTTCCATAAAAATGCTCATTCATGGTTTATTTAATGTGGAAGACTAGGCCAAGTCATTCCAAAATATTTTGTAGATATTGAAGGCAATTGTTTTCAAAGATGGTCCTTCTTATGCCCCCATAACATTTATCTAGATATGCTTGTTTTATTTCTTTGTAATATTTCTAAAAAAGTAAATCTCTCTTTTATTTTTTTCTGAAAGGTGGTCCTGATGACAATTTAATTGAAGGTGGAGGAACAAAATTTGTCTGCAAACCTGGAGCCAGAAATATTACTGTCATATTCCATCCGCTACTAAGGTAAGTCCAATCCTGTGAGTCACTGAAGGTCAATATTTTCATTATTAATGCAGATGTATGGAATGCTAATAGGTCAGTCAGCATTGAAAATTCATTAAAAAAAAACACAAAAAAAACCACACAAAAAAAACTTGTTCCATTTCTTAGGGCCTCACTATCAAAGTGGTCAATAGAATAAATAATGTCAGCCCCACTAGGTAGCTATTTGTTCTCAGGAGTAATACTTCATAAATACTTTAGACTTTCTCTCCTACTCTCTGTCCCTGCCCTTCTCCCTTCCCCTGTCTTTTCCTTCCTCTCCTTATGTATTTCAGGGATGGCAAACTAGGGCCCATGGGAGAGGTCTAACTGCCACATGTTTTTGTAAATACATTTTTATTGACACACGGCTCATGGTTTATTTAATGTGGAAGACTAGGCCAAGTCATTCCAAATTGTTTTCATGCTTATTCATTTATGTATTGCCCATAGCTGTTTTTGTGCTACAATTGCAGCAGTGAATATTTGCAACAGAACCCATATGGCCCATAAAGCCTAAAATACGTACTCTCTGGCCCTTGATAGCAAAAAATTGCAGACCCGTGATCTGTCTCACTAATTTACACTAATTACTCAGATTTCCTTTGAGAATAGGCAGGTCTCTGAACAAATATGATTTATAAAACTAAAGACATTATATCAATCAAATACATGATTTTTATATGTTGAAGGAAAACTTGATGGTGACTATTATGGTGCTCAATTTATTGTGATATTATGATATAAGAAAATAAGAATACATGATAGTTCTATTTAAAAAAAAAATAAGACCTAAGTACCATTAAAAGAGTACTTTTTGGGATGAGGGAAGGGGGTTTGTTCAATGGATCTAAAGTTTCAGTTTTGCAAGATGAAAAAGTTCTTGAGATTTGTTAAAACAATGTGCATATAGTTAACACTTACTGTACTGCATCCCTGAAAGATGTTAATATGGTAAATTATGAGTTTGGGCTACAATAAAAAAAGAGAACTTTTGGGACTAATATAATATCTAATATATATAATATCTAATGTAATATTAATTATATGTTTTCCTTGGTAATAACCAGTACATATTTTTGCTGTATTTTCACATAATGAGTAAGAAACCCTCGAGTTCATTAAAAGTTAGATATCTCATATCATCATGTTAACTTTCTCAGGTAACTTCTATAATACTTGAGGCATGTGGATTAATGGTTAAACAGATGCTACTGAAATGGTCAGAGATAATACTGTATGTATTTTTCAAAAACATAAGTTAAGTTATTACTGGAATTATCCTACCATCTCATTAGCCAAGAATTACTAAATTGATATCATTAGAATTCATTTAATTCTCATCTTTTAACCAGTTTTTTAAAATTGTACTGGAATACTTTACTGAATTAGGTTTAAATGCAAAAAGCACAAATAAATAAATTCAACAACAATAACAATAAAAATCCTCACTTTTGCACAATAAAAAAATAAAAGATTTTAAAAGAAATGTTATTAATCTTTAAAAAACTGTTTTAGCAAACATTTGAGTAAATTCATGTAATTTAATAATGACTGAATTAAGAGAATTAAGACTATGCCTCTAAATGTGGTTGATTTTATATACATATGAAATAGGTAAATTACAACATAAAGAATTGCTAGATTAAGTAACAATTCTCTCATATATGGACTGACTTTGGTAATTAATTTAGTACTCACTCTCTTCTCCAATTACAATTGATTTCTACTTAGTTAATGTTGCTAATTGTTAGGAAAATGGGAAACTACCTAAATCAGTATAGGCATCTTCTAACCTAGATTGAACGCCATAATTGACTGCAGAGCTCCGTATGGCTTGGTAAATGGAAGCCTTGTTCTTACATTTGTCCCTGAGTATAAAAGAAACAGACCCTGTGGAAGTTTTTGGCAGTGCTGTTAATAGCCACTTTTCAAGAGCTTTTTTCCTCATAAACATTTTTTCCTCTTTCAATGTGAAGTTATTTGAATGGAAAAACATACCATTTCCCACTTAATAAAATGCAATTCGGGTAAAATACTGGTAGAACTTAACACATTACAGTTCTTGACTATTATTGTTTAGTGTTATTTGTGCCTGCTTTACTAAAGGGTTGTTTTGAGGCTGGAGAATACTCCTATTAGGTTTACTCACTTGTTTGGTCTCTACTTTCATTCAGAATTGTATTGTTGTTGTTGTTGTTGGTCTCTACTTTCATTCAGAACTGTATTGTGGTTGTTGTTGTTGTTTATTATTATTATTATTATTATTATTATTATTATTATTTTCAATCCTCACCTGAGGAGTGAGGATATTTTCCCACTGATTTTTTAGAGAGAGTAGAAAAGGGGGGCAGGGGAGGGACATATCAGCTGAGACACATCAATTGGTTGCCTCTCACACATGTCCAACCCGGGGCAGGGATCTGACCTGCAACCCAGGTATGTGCCCTCGATCAGCAATCGAATCCAAGACCCTTTGGTGCTTAGGCGGATGTTCTATTACTGAGCCACAAGGGTCAGGGTCAGAATTTTATTATTGATTAGAACTGGAGAAAGTTTTGTTGCATGATTTACCATAGTTTATCATTCATTCATTCTCTGTGTAACTCTTAATATTATGTGGTATGCAAGGTAAGTCAACTCTTTTCCAAGGAGGTGATTGATCGTCAATAGACTTTAAATTAGCCTTTGACTCAAAGTGCAGCCTATCTTCTCAAACCATTATAGAGTTGTAGCTGATAACTCTTGATGGGCTTATGGAACTTGAAATGACTAAAATCTTTTAGTATTTATTTATTTATTTTTAAATTTTTTATACTTCAGCACTTGCTGATTATTAGATTTAGCATTTCTTCTAAAGTTTGGAAGTTTACTTTCAGTAATGATGAGAATCAGTGTGCATTGTCATACTAGTATATTTTATTTTTACTATTATCATTAGAAAATTTCCAATTTCTTCTGTAGTCATTCATTTATTTATGGTCAATAAATGAGATGTTTATTGAATACTTGCAATGTGTGTTTTACCTTCTCTAAGTTAGATCTGTGGTTTTGTTTAGAAATAGTCACTTATTTTTATGGGCTTATTTAAATATGTCTGGATACATTTTTCATCCTTTTGCTCCTTGCTTTTTTTTCCATGCTAGTTTAAAGTGAATGTGATTTAGCAACTTATGACTTAAAAGAAGATGTAACATAGTGGGAGAGGCAGTGTAGAAGAATGGAAAGTTAGGAAAAAGCATAATTTTAAAATTTAAAAAGAAAACCAGAACAAGTTATCAAAGTTCAAATGTAGGTTCCATCACTTCACTTTTACTCACTGATTATTTCTTGAACTCTAATTCTATGCCAAGTTCTGAGGAGACAAAAACATAAGATGGAATCCTTGGTGGCTCGCTTGGTGGCTGCATAGGTGGCAAAAAATTAGGAAGTCAAGTCGAAAACACCAATTATTGGAGAGGAGGTTGATCAGTGGGATCTCGTATACCTACTATGTAAACTGGCACAGCCTCTCTGGAAACAGCTTGACGTTACTGAGCGATCACATCCTGTCCCCAAGTAGTCTCATCCAGATGTGTTTCTGCGGCTGTGGAGTGACTAATTTTCTTTCCATCCCAATTTTCCAAACTTTTTCTCATTGATGGTAATAATGAGTCTTTATTTATAACTCCATATTAAAAATAAGTTCAGAAGGAACTCATCACTAGTTGACTTTTATCACAAGCCAGCACTGTTCAAACATGTCATTGCTTTCCTCAACTCTTTTAGTGAGCTCTCACATACTTCTCACCCGCAAAGAAGAAACCTTCCCACGTGTGTTGCAGGGCCTTCATTTTTCCTTCCCTTCCCTTCTCCTGTGTCCAGCAACACTGTACTCTGTCTTCCAGAAACTTTGGCTGTGGATTTTCCACACTTTATTTATTTAAAAATTGCTTTTCATAACTTTTATTCAGCTGCCAGTGCATTCTTTGCAGCCTGAAGGTTTTCCCTACTGAAAACTGAACGACCTGCTGAGAACACCACACTGTGGATTCCCATTATGCTGTTTTATATATGCTCAGAGTCGTTTATACTGTCCTCACGTAAACTTATTGCACAGGCTCCTCAGATCTGGTAACCTTGCAGACTTATCCTTGTACTCTTCTCAATTAATGCCGGCCCATTACCAGGAAACGCACAGGCTGTTGGAGGCAAATATACTGACTTCCTATTTGTTCACTCCCCATTAACCCCGCTGACCCCTCCTGTGAGTTGTTTACTTAATGCTTTTCCATACCATTTTCTCTTTTTGGTTCATAAACCAGGAAATTGTCTTAGAGTGTGAAGTTTTAGAAAGATGAAGTATAGTAGTATCCTTGCTTCAGTCTTGGTCTAAAAAGGCATTGTGTGCAATTAAACCTTTAAGCCAGGGGTCCTCAAACTACGGCCCGTGGGCCACATGAAAATACAAATATTGTATTTGTTCCCGTTTTGTTTTTTTACTTCAAAATAAGATATGTGCAGTGTGCGTAAGAATTTGTTCATAGTTTTTTTTAAACTATAGTCCGGCCCTCCAACGGTCTGAGGGACAATGAACTGGCCCCCTGTTTAAAAAGTTTGAGGACCCCTGCTTTAAGCTTTGGATGATAAGATAAGGGGTCATCTGATCAATTTTTCTCCTGATGGGTCTAAATGAAAAACAAACAAAACCATATTGAAATAAATACACTTCAGACCACATCTGGGTAGATTTTGAAATACTTGCACCAAAATATAGGCCCTGGAAATGATAGGACTGATGCCTTTTTCCCACCAACAAGTTTGCTACTTTTATAGCTTTCTCATAAAACATGCAAGAGGAATGATGGATTCACTCTGATAAATGGAATTTATTTTCTAGGCCTTGAATTTGGAGAACAAAAGGGAGAAATGTTAATGTTGAAATTTGAATGGCATATTTTTCTTCTTTTGTCTAGGTCTGACATGAATTTAGATTGTTAAAA